TTCCCTCTAAATCCAACCGGTTCTAGATGAGAGTGATCTGTGTATCTTCTCTTCCCCCCTGAACCACCCAGTTCTGCAGGGAAGGGGATAGTTTCATACTCACTTCCCCCAGGAAACAACTGGTCCTAGAGCGAAGGGAGATTTGTCGTCTCCCTTCTCTCAGAAACCGACCGGTTCTAGAGGGAAGGGAGGAGACACCTCTCTCTTCGCTCCAGAACCAGTCAGTTCTAGAGGGAAAGGAGAAGTGTTACCTCCCTTCTCTCTGGAACCGACTGGTTCTAGAGGGGAGGGAGGAGACACCTCTCTCCTCCCTCCAGAACCAGTCGGTTCCAGAGAGAAGGGAGGCTACACCTCTCCCTTTGCTCTAGGACTGGTTTTTTCGAGTGGGAATGGAGGCTACACCTCACCCTTTCCTCCAGAACTGGTCGGTTCCTGGGAGAAGGGAGACTACAAATTTCCCTTTGCTCTAGGACCAGTTGTTTCCTGGGGGAAGTGAGTCTGAAACTATCCCTTCCCTGCAGAACTGGGTGGTTCCAGGGGGAAGACAGGCTACACAAATCACTCCCATCTTGAACTGGTTGGATTTAGAGGGAAGGGATGCTAGAACTCCACTCTTATTTCAGAACCAAACAGTTCTTGAGGTAAGGAAGAGGTCTAGCATCCCTTCCCTATGAAACCTACAGGTAGTTCTAGACTAAAGGGAGAATTTAAAAAAGATAACTTAGTGGATCTGAAAATTAATAATTTTAGACATGGTTGATTTTTTAGATGAATTAGATAAATATTGATACAGATTTAGTGAGCCACAGGCATTCTCCATTCTAAATTCACAGTGTTAAGCTCAAAATACACAGTGGTAGAAGTTTATAAGGATCCAAATATTTAGTTACATAATTCTTGTTATTGGTTTGAACAGTTTATAATGGTGACTTGATTAGAAGCTAAAATTTGCACAGGTCAATCTTTGACATTTCAATGAGCTGCATATGTTAGTTGGAATTTATTAATGGTAATTCTTCTATTGGGTTCCAAATGAAATGATTCATGAATGTTGGAGCTGTAATTCATTATCTATGAATTCACCATTTGAAGTAACCTATGCTAAGTTTTTGAGGGTTGAATCTTTTATATTATAATGATAAATTACATCAAAAATTATTGGATGATTCAAAGATCAGAATTTGAACTGGAAGTGAAAATAAGGCTTTGTTTATCTACAATGATTGATCATTTATCCGCCTCTTGGCATATATCTATACCTACACAAGTACAGCGGCGCAGCCGCCCTGATCTCTAGTCTTTCTTTGAATTCTTTGCATTTATTTGGTGATTTTTCTTGGGCCTTAATAAAAAAACATGGTTTTTCCGTGTTTTGACGCGGTTTCTGCTGCGCGCAGCACACGTGGTTTCCGCGTTTAGACGCGGTTTTTTAATTAATTTCTTTTTGCCATTAATTTTAAGTTTTTTTTTTTTTTTTTTTAAATTGTTTCCTAGGTTATAAAATGCGTATAGAATTTAATGGTAAAGTCCATTTTCCATAAAAATGACTTTTGATTATTAATTTTTTTTTCCACTCATTTTTTCCATTAATTGTATGCATACATGTTTTTACCTTATTTTTTATGCTTTTTTGAAGTTTTAAATTTATTTCCTGAGTTTCAATATGTGTAGAATTTAATGGTGTAAACCAAATTTTCAAAACTCAACATTTTATTTTCAATACTGAAATTTGACATTTTTCACTTAAATTTCTACAGCTTAATATTTTTTGATGTTTTAAAATTATTTCCTACACTTTGAGACATGTAAAAAATTATGGTAACAGCCATTTTTCCCCAAAATGAAAACTATACCTTGAATGCTGCATTTGACACATTTTTTTTAATTAATTTGTCACTTTTTCACTTAATTGTTTGCATACTTGTGTGTACCTTATTTTTTATGCTTTTTTGAAATTTTAAAGTCGTTCCTACATTTAAAAGTGTGTATAATTTAATGGTAACATTCAATTTCCATGAAACTCAACGGTTCATTCTGAATACTGTAATTAGTCATATTTTTCAATTGATTTTTAAGAGCTTAATTTTCATTATTTTTTGACATTTTAAATGTTTCCTTCACTTTCAGACATTTTTAAAATGATGGTAACAATCACTTTGCATCAAAATAAAAAGTGTATCTTGAATAATGCCTTTGACATGTTTTTTTAATTAATTCTTACATGCTTAATTATCCTTATTTTTTGGAATTTTAAGTTCATTTCCTACAATTTGAAAGTTTTTAAAATTGATGGCTGTAACCATTTTGCATTTATCAAATACAATTTTTATACGGTACAAATTATGCAAGAAACGGTGTACACTCACGTATTATAATTGAAGCTTTGAGTTTGAGGGAAATTGGACTTCACCATTAACTTCTACACATTTATAAATGTAGGAAATAAATTTAAAATTTCAAAAAATGATCAAAATTAAGCTGGTAAAAATCAATCAAAAAAACATTGAAAAAAACCTGTCCAACACAGTATTCAGTAACAAGCGCTGATTTTTATGTAAAATTATTTTTACCATCATTTTAATCATGTCTTAAAGTGTGGGAAATAAATTTAAAATGTCAAAAAATAATGAAAATTAAGCTGTCAAAAATTAAGTGAAAAAAGTGTCTGATTTCAGTATTCAAAATGAACTGTTGAGTTTTAAAAAAATTGGATTACACCATTCAATTCTACGCACATTAATACCTAGGAAATAAATTTAAAATTCCAAAAAAACATAAAAAATAAGGTAAAAACATGTATGCATACAATTAATGGAAAAAATGAGTGGAAAAAATGATTAATAATTAAGGGCCTTAATAAAAAAACGCGGTTTTTCCGCGTTTTGACGCGGTTTTGATGCGCCGCAGCACACGCGGTTTCCGCGTTTAGACGCGGTTTTTTAATTAATTTCTTTTTGCCCTTAATTTTGAGTTTTTTTGATTTTTTAAAGTTGTTTCCTAGGTTTCCAAGCGTGTAGAATTTAATGGTAAAAACCATTTTCTGTGAAAATGAATTTTGATTATTAATTTTTTTTTCCACTTATTTTTCCATTAATTGTATGCATACATGTTTTTACCTTATTTTTTATGTTTTTTTGAAATTTTAAATTTATTTCCTAGGTTTCAATATATGTAGAATTTAATGGTGTAAACCAAATT